GTAAAATGATGAAGTTTTGAAATGGCTCTGTTGTTTAAAATAGGTCAAAGCTGTGAAGATAGCTTTGGCCTCGGCAGTGAAAATGGAACTATTGTCGGGAATTCTGGAGGAGACAATCTTAGATCCAATGACTGTAGCACTAACAACTTGGCCATTATCCTTGGATCCGTCTTTGAAAATGGATCTGTGGGTGTTATAGTTGGAACGTAACTGGTTGCATTCCTGTTGGAAGACCAAAGGATTTGTTTCAGACTTTTGGAGTTAGGTGAGGGTAAGATCGACATGTGGTTTCACCATCTGCCAGGGTGGTGAAGACAGAAGCCGAAAAGGTGCTATGATATTGAGATCAATTTTAGCTGCAGATATGTGTGTGGTTGAATTCTGATTCCATGTGGTGGAACCAGGCTTGGCAGTTTAGGAAACAGGTTTTCATAGAGAGTGTTGAAAACACAATTGTATGCTGGATTGACTCATTTTACACACACTTTTGTGATATACTGCAGTTAAGGTTAAATGTGGCGTTGTTCAAGGGAGGGTTCGTTAGCCTCCGCATATAGACAGTCTACTGGAGAGGTCCGAAAGGCTCCCAGGCAGAGAGCCTCAGGCAATGGTGGTGGATAGAGTCTAGTTGTTCTAAATTGCTTTTGGTGGGCTCCACCATAGACAATGGAGCCATGATCTAATTTAGAGCGAACCAATGATCTGTACAAGTGAAGTAGGAGATGGAGTGGCTGAGATGGGCTGAGTTGAGTTGAGTTGAGTTTGCTGAGAAGACATGACCAGATGTCAGATCGGTCTGACACGAGATACTTGCAGTAGTGATAGTAGGACGGTAGACAGCAGAAGAGTAGGCGATGGTTGAAGGGGCTATAGTTAAACTTGCAGCCCTCTTCTTTAGCTTCATGAAAGGAGACATTTTCTTTGTGCTTGATCTTTAGGATCTCGGATTCAAGGCGTCGCCACACGGGACAAGATTTGGAGGAAACCATATGGTTACCACCGCAGTTTGGACACTACACTTCCATAGTACAGTCATTGCTCTCATGCTCGTCGCCACAGCGGTAACAAACAGTAGAACAACAAGAAGACTGTGATCCATGTCCAAACTTTTTGGCAGTTGTAGCACCGGACTTGATTAGGTACATACACCTCCACACCAATGCTGCAATAACCGGCTCTAATAGATTCGGGAATCTTCGATCGGGCTAACAGATAGGTTTTGTAGGTTGAACCACACCGTCCTTCTTGATAGTGAATCTCTTCACAGCTGTAAGAGACTGCTGCAAAAGTTCCTGGACAATTTGTTCCTCAGTCATGTCAAATAGGCACCGATCTCTGTCCCGTACGATGCCTCTACACGTGTTCAGCGTTTTGTGCGCTTAGACAGCAACCTTTACATCGACAAACTCTTGTAATTTCAGTAGATTCAAGGATTTATGTCTCTGGAGCACATTCTACTAGTAAAGAACCGGACACCCTTGGAGACTGCAAATGGGTTCAATTTCAAAGGTTGCTTGTCACAAGCTTCGATGATAAAAACGTGGCCAGGAATCTGGTCGAATGGACGTACTCTCGTCAGACAAGGAATTGTCAGAGTCCATATGTCTTCGTTTTGAACCAGGGTATTGGGAAGCCATGTCATAAGGAATGTGGTTCGGCATCCCCTCTCCCCACCCACCTTGGAGTGTCAACAGGGACGATCTTATATTGCAGCGGATCTCCAAGCTGCAAAGACCGAAGGATACGGAGGTGCTATACTCCAGCGAATTTGACATGAAATCCTGTAGCTGTCTACAAGATAAAAGGTCAGGATGGTTCGTCCATTACAATCAACTGGAGACGTACAGATATCGGAAGTCAGCATCACCAGATTGGCCCATGAGCCACCGCCTTCTGTGCATGGGTCTGCAGGTCTGATCTGGCAGAATATAAGTTAACATTTTGAACATGGCCAAAAGTGTTATGTAATACCAAATTTGTATAAACATTTTCATGCACAGGGCATGGCGTGACCAGCCGATTGGTAGTATCGGGCCTATTCTACCAACCATCATCCGTCATCCTCAACCACCAGATTCCTTCCTCTGCCGACACAGGACGCAACCCACGGCAAAGGGTTGCTTGAATTTGGTCACCTCTTACAACCAGCAGTGGGTACTGTGAACCGGTGTCCTCCCATTTGTAGAGAACTCCCAGTTGTGAAACACATTAATTAATGGTTCAGTGCACATAGGTGGTGTTTCCACATTCGTAAATTAAAAGTGGATCAGCCCAGCCCAGTACACACAGGAGGCATAGTTCATTGATGAGTTGATTAATGAAATAAAATTATCAAAGATTATATTTACACAGAAGAAATAGTTCATTGAATATTTTATTTATTCAGAAGAATATGTAATTATGATAAATACATTTTCATTATCATTTATGCACATGAATTAGGATTGGTGAACAAGTATTACTGCTTATGCTAAAGGTCACATGCAACATAAAACACAACTTTGCAGATTCTGATACCTTTCGGTATGGACTCTACCGAAACAAATCATCAAAATGCAAATTCAACTTATAAAGTTGACAAAGAACGCGATGAAAAAGAAAGCGCGAAATCGTGGTTCAAACGATTCACTAATTTTCCCCTAGCGCTTGCTTTCAACAGCTGGACTGCGCTCATAGCACATGCGCAGTGAAATAGGTTCCTTTGCAGCTTTGAAGCAGGTTGTCCGGTGAATACCGGTGAGGGTTTTGGTGTGAGCTATTTTCTAATGTTTTGTTGATATTTCACAGGCGCGGCTTTTTATATGTTATGACAGTAGATTAACTGTTTATATAATTTCATTTGTCTATTTCACCACACGTTCTTCTTACCGAGTCACTTTCTCAGTCTCGATACTTAAAAGCAATGTCATTATTTAGCGTTGACAGAATTTCTAACTGTGATATAGATATGTCGTTGTCACAGACAAAACTCAATGTCTGTTTTATTGACACCTATGTGTCTGCCTGCCCAATGTCTGCTAATGACCATATTCAATACACAACAGCGATCAATGACCACATGCAATTTGAACTTAACACCAATCAGGCTATACACCATAAACAAAATGCATTGACTTATGGCCCGAGTTCGGTCTCTGTCACATTATGAAATTAAAGACAGGCAGGTGTGATAATTTTGTACACATGGCATGTTAATGATGTCTGTTGATTGCAAAATGTTACACACAAAATGAGCATGTATTTACAAAACCCAACATCTCTATATAAACACACAAAGAGCCGTGTGGGAATCTCTGCAAAATGAACCAGCCGTTACATTTGAGTGCCACACCCACCCGCTCTGACTGGGTCTGGTATCCCGGCTGCTTCGTTTCTTGGGAAACACAATATTGCACTCTTTGATTTGCGATTGTACGCTTATAATTTTTGTTTATATGTTTTTTCATAACCAGCAATGCATATATAATATATGTCATGAATAAGTGATAATTGTGTTTTTAATTATGTTTGATTTTGGTTGCATGTGACCTTTAACACCGCCCCATGCAACATAAAATATAGAATGAAATGGAGGATGTGACGTCATCGATATTGACTATTGCATAAATATATTTTAAGTACATATAAATATATACAGATTACATCAAATGCAACTATTCTCTAAGTAGTCATAATTAGAGACTTATGGTTGAGTGTGTCTAACAAGCTATTGTAGGAATATAAATCAATCAATGAGAAGGTGGTTGAGTTAATTTCAGCATTTCCCGTGAAAATTTGAAGGTTGTATTTTGATGATATAATCGTGGACGAATTCAACTATTTTCTGGTTTATACAAGGAGTACATTCTTTGTTTCCGTTTAAAAAAATTATCCTGGGGCGAAGAGCCATTATCGTTAACACCCAGCACACACCAAGTGAGGAGGTTGCTCTTCAAGGGTGCCGGGCGCATACAAAGAACAGAACAGTATTAAGCGCCCCACAGTCACATGAATTAAATATCATTGAAAATATTGGGACTCACTACAGCCTGTATCCTGTCATCCCACGGGATGCAGATTGTTTCTTTGAAGGTCATCGTCTTGTGGCGGCCAATCTAGCCATAGAGCTACCCATAGTGTGTGTGTTAGTGTGTGTGTTAGTGTGTGTGTGTTAGTGTAGTGTGTGTGTGTGTGTGTGTGTGTGTGTGTGTGTGTGTGTGTGTGTGTGTGTGTGTGTGTGTGTGTGTGTGTGTGTGTGCTACATTCATATACTACATGATAATTTGTGGTCAGTATAGGCAAGGCGCTTCCCCGACAAAATTAATTTTCTAGGATGACAGTGCTCCTGTTCATTGGTCCCGTATCGTTGGCGCATACAAGGAACAGAACAGCATTAAGTGCCTCACAGTCACCGGATTAAATATCATTGAAAGTATTTGGTTGAAAAATGAAAAGAGCAATCCAAACCAGAACACTTGACACTAGGTCAATAGAGGGGACTTGTTTAATACGATCAGGGACGTATGAGTCAACCTGACCACTGATAATATACTCTATTTTGTTGACAGTGTTAATGTATCATATATAGTTATTACCAGTGACCACATTACTGTCAAATTAAGTACATGAGAGCGTTGATTGTTATCCTGCTCTGGCTTGGATATATTCCATTTTGCCTTATGTTGTCTTCAAACACTCAAACGCAAGTAATGAATACACCTTTTAGAAAACAAGAAAATTTGAGTATTCGATACTCGTGATCACAAATAACAAAATGATAGTGATGGAATAATATTGGTTTGATTCACCGAATACACGAGTGAATCATAACGGCCCCAGTTAACAGATACAGTTTAATGTCATTACAACAGTGTTTAGAAATATATTATACCGCCATATAGTATAGTTTTTCATCTCAAACATGAAAAGTGTTGAATTTTTCCCATGCAAACATATAAGTCCTCTACTTTGTATTCATTAAGGTAACTTATCTTCTTTTTTCTTTCAGCTGTGTTTCAAAATGCTGAAATATATTTACTTGGCAAGTTTTGTACAAATATGCTGTGGTAAGTATTGCTTTATATCTGTTCATTAGAAACTATCATGTTCTGTCGCTAAACATATTTAGTAACTGACAGAAGTAACAGATTTTATCTCTCTATTGTTCCATAACAGTTTAGATTTTACCAAGCTCCTGCATGACATCGTCCCACGTATCCACAGATCTACAGCATGTGTATTGTTGTCTGGCTTCTTCATAGCAACTCAGTGAAATGTATTTTGTATGAACAATGGGTAATTTTTTAAAATAACTTTTACTTGAAGTCATCGATAGTTAAATTAGTTGGTCAGTAGTGTCGCATTGGTCACTGTTTTGACAATTGAATTCCCATTCTGAAGTTTATTGTGCTCAGATCAACTTTATCGGAAATTGACTTTTCACGCCGAAATCATCATGTCATCAGCAAACTGTGCCTGCAGTGTCAGAAATCGGACCTCCACTCGCTTTGTGCTTCATGGCTTACAGCACAAGCCACACGGGACGTTCCTTCAGTCCCTTGGTATAAGTCATAAACGGCAAAACCTACCAGCAAAAGCCCGCACTTAAAGTGAAGGGAGCAGTGGTCTTAATTATCTACTCAGGACACATTGAGCGTATTGTATTCCCCTGTTTGTTTTCCCCTGGTCCCCAAGAAAGACACGGACGACATGAGGATGATTATAGAACTAAAATCTTGAAAATAACAATCTTACGAACCCTCAGAAGTTCAAGATGGGGTCCTTATGAAATATCCGCTCACTCATTCATCAGGATGCCAAGTTTGTCAGTCTTGATCTCAGGTACGCTTATCTTCTATACCCATTCATGTTCAATCCGAGAAGTATGTGTGGTTTGCTGTTATACCTACTTGGGTTGTCAGTCAAGACGTGATGAGGTAATTTTACGACGATGTCGTATTGGCCACAGTCGGATTACTCATGACTATCTGCTGAAAACGGATGGGGATGGATCCCCACGTGTGTCTCTTGCGATGAGGTTTTCACCATCAAGCATATTCTGCTCAAATGCGTGGACTTATCGTCTGCAAGGGACTCACATAAATAATGCAAGAAACCTGAAAGATCTGTTCTCCCGCGTGAGCGCTCATCTGATAGTGAATTACCTGAGGGAAGTTGATCTGTATCATAAATTGTAACTGTGGAATGTGACTAACACATTGCCTGCCTTTAAATTTGGTGCTATGACTTGTTCTGCTTTTAAATGACAATGTAGTGAATATATGTTAGGGGTTCACTCGCTCCTCCCTACTCTCTTTCAAGATTACACAGGCGTCAAGAAAGACACTTTAGTCTCCATGTCTGTATAAGAGGTAACTATGGCACATTGTCTTCTGTATGTGATTTGGCGGATGCTACTCACAACCAGATCTTGGGCCGACATACAGCTATGAATAGAACCCATAAACTGAACTCTGTCAGAAATGTCCCAGCCGGCAAAGAAGCTATTGTTTCAACAAGCCCTGGACACAGAATCGCCGTTGAATGGCCAATGTCAGCAGGCCATAGAAGCTCGGGATGGTCAGCAGACCACACAAGCCCAGGATGCCTTAACCACACGCAATCTTAACCACAGGCTAGCCTCTGCCCTCCTGAGCCAAATCAGGCTTGTAGGTCAAGAAAGGAACCGTCTTCAGCGTTCACATTTCGGTACAGCTAAAGAATTGAGATCTCAAGGTTCATGTAATCCTAGTTCCAGATGCTCAACCTCTTCTAGGGGCAGGGGTAGGGGTGGTAGGACCTTCCCTGTCTCAAGTCCTACCGCCGACAAATTTTGACTTATATCTCAAGACTCCTTCCACTCATCCTTGCGAGCTGGAAATGCCCATCGATTTGGAAACAGGATTCGATCTTGTCCCACCCTTTACCCAGTCCCCCATGGGGTGGGTGGGTTTGTGGGGGGTGGCTGGGCTGCCTGTAGCATTACATTGAGAACTGGAGACTAAGTACTTAGGATAGGTGGATCCTATCAGGTATAGAGAGAGGTTTAGAGTCTTCCCTGGGACACCAGGCCTCCCGTGACTTGCTTCCCGACAAGTTGGCGATTTTTTCTGCAGGGGAACGTCTGACGGACGCCAACAGGGCCATATAGACCAGTTGCTGGAGAAACGTGCCATCATCGAACTTCCTCCGACGGACTTACCCTGCGGCTAGTACTCACCAGTGTTTCTTGTCCCCAAGAAGGACATTGACACGATGCGCATGATAATAGATCTGACATTATGAAACAAAACTTTTACGGAAGCCCGAAAAGGTTCAAAATGGATTCTCTGGCAAATTTACAAACTCTCATTCGACAAGACTAAAATTCATCAGCACAGACCTCAACAATGCTTATTTTCACGTGCCGATCCATCCACGCACTCAGAAATATCTGCGATTCTCTGTGAACGGCAGCATGTTCAGTTTCAGGCTCTGCCATTTGAAATATGGAATCTACAGCCAAACCCTCACACACACACACTCCACCCCCACTCCCCACCCCCAGGACACCCCCGATAGAAAATTGGTTAGGTGAGAACATTTGAGCTGGAATCTTTTATATCATATCCCGACAAGGTCAGACAAGAGCTGTTATGGTGGACAACAGACAGCACCATTCTTTCAGGATTTTTTGTTTGTCTTTCTCTCTCCGGATCTGACTATTTTGCGTCAATATCGGGTTGGAGCGTCCACGTGGAAGAAGGCTCCCATATCAACATTCTGCAGATTTTTGCGATTGTCTAGGCGCTCTCCCATTGAGAGAGCTTGGCCTCCACTGGAAAAGTATCATGCTGGTCACGGACAATTCTGCTAGTAGCATATTTCAACAAGCAAGGGGAACCAGGTCATGGTATCTGCTCCCCGATTTGATGAGTGAGTGAGTTAAAATTTAAAGTCACTTTGGCAATATTTCAGCCATATCGTGACTAAGTCAAGTTATAGACTAAAAATAATTAAAGGACAGTAATATAAATCAACTAGACCATCACAGGTAGAAAATGTAAAACTAGTAATTAAATCTAAAACATTTTTAAATATTAATGACAATACAATATTTTGAATTTAAATTTACTTTGAATATTTTGGGACTTTACGTACACTAATTTTACAGTACTTTAATCCCCTTGAGGGAATACAAACTTTTAAACTTCCAAACACACATATTTATCTGTTTACAAATCATTTAACAAATCTATTTCTTTTAAAAATGCAATAACTAAATGAGAACTTATATTATTAAAAAGATCCTTCATAGTTCGTGATTTGAAATAGTTATCCCTTATGATGGAATATTCAACACAGTCAAAGCAAGACTTGCTTGACTGTGATCCTTTCATCACAAGGGATGCAAAACGGAGGATCGTTTTGCAGGTTCCACCATATGCAATGGAGCCATAATCAAGCTTCGAGCAGACCAGTGATCTATATAGGTGTAGGAAGGTAGCTTGATCCTCTCCCCACTTTGAGTTGGAAACAACTTTTCACAAATCCAGAGCCTTATCCAGAGACAGTTATTTTTTAGGTATTAAATTTGCGGAAGAAAAGTTCAATGGGAGTCGAACATAAGATCAAAGCACTTGGCCTCCTTGACAACCTTGATGGATGTGAATTTAAAGATATTTCAGGGTGTTAATGCGGTTTGTAGTTACGACAGAAATGTATACAATTAATTTTGGATTTAGAACATTTAAAGCCGTTTTCAAGACACCATTTATTTATTTTGTTTAAACACAGCTGCAGTTGCCGTTCAATAGTATGTATATTTTACCGCGAAGAGAAATATGAAAATCATCCACAAAAGTGATCCAACCATTTAATCATTACAAAACCTTTGATCAACTGTTACCCTTAATGCTAAACAACAATATGACAGACAAAATACTGCCTTCTGGAACACCCTGATCAATGAAGAAATACATATTACACATTAATTCCCATTTCTAAAGTCCAAACTCTAAGTTCACTGATCTCACCTTCGTCGGTTCACCGTACCTCTTCTCCATCATGTACATATTCGGAGGACCTATCCACTTTAGTAGGGAGTATTGAACATGTGGACGGAACGCATATGCTTGCCTGGATCGCCGATAACCTGAGCCTGGCCAGGAGCAAGTCTTCAGATGACCTCACATCAATGTTCTAATGAAGGAATAGGACTTATCTACGATTACAGTAGCACCTTGTTTAACTCAGACGACGCCATTTCTAGACACAGCCTTCAGGAATCTGAAAGAGAGTCAAGGACGGGTTCTCTGCTCCGAAATTCTCTGGCACACGTCCACGGTTTGGTGAACCTGCTCGTCTCCCCAAACTACCGATGAAGACATCTCTACACTCTGCCCTTAACAGAACAACACTCCATTCCTTATTGAGGATTGAGAAATTTTCGTAGAACCATCAGCCTTACCTTGTCTACTATAGAGGCTGCAGCTACGTCGGTCACCCACGTTTCCACACAGGACCAAGCATATATCAGAGTACCAATGACCCGAGTGCATGAACAATTTCAAGCTGTATTAGACCAGATTAGACCACAATTTCCTTGGTTGCATCATGGCTATCAGACGATGTGGTCCGTTGCACCACACAGCCTGGGATGAACACTACAGAGTAGACTTGTTTTGCCAGCCGTGAACGAGTCTGAACCTATTCAACGGGATCATCAGAGATGTTTTGGGAAACTCAGTCGCAGGTGACTGTAGCTTCAGAAGCTGCAAGTTCAAGAGTCTCTTCAAAACAGATGCCCGGCGCAATATGTTTTGATGAACCTTGATCTGCGGCAATCATTTGGTGGAAGGAGTTCTTTTTGCCCAGAAGAAGAAGACAATACAAATCCACATCCTACGGCAGAGGTGCGTAGTACTCGGACTCAGCTCATGGAGCTGGTTCTGGCAAACAGTTACTGTCAGAGACGTTAGCACGAATGGGATCTTCCAACCCCAGCCGTCCCGATCTTAGATTCCCCGGTCGGCTGAAGAATTGCGATATAGGCTTGCAATTGGACTTTCTTGGGAGACCCCTTCATCGAACACTCAGCTTAGGCTACAAACTACCGATGATCGGAGCTCTTCCTTTAACGAACGATCTAGTTCAACGAACCTACCCTTCAGCGCAGATGTCGGCTCTGCAATAGAATCTCTCGTCCCTTCGCCCGACACCCTCGTCTTTTATTCTCCAAAATTCCTGGTATCAAAAGAAGATTTGGACACGCTCCGAAATTTAACATCAATACCACATACCTCCAGCCTCAGACACACTTCAGAATGATCTCTGTAGCTCTACTTCGAATGATCCTCAAACCAGGAGACTTCTTGATCAGTCTCGATCTACATGATGCGTATCTTCATGTCCCAATTCTTCCGGACCATCACGCATTTCAAGGCATTCACTACCAATGGAGAGCCTCCACACCCCCACCCCCACCCCCGTTTGACATTTCTACTTCCCGATGGCTATATACCTGCACTATGAAACCCATCACTTAGTTATCATACATCGTCGAGGAATCGTGTTTGAATCGACGATTGTATACAAGCCCAAAGAGATTGACAGATTGACAGATCCTCCTACAAACATCTACAATTCACCATCAAGCTACTTCACCAGCTAGGGTGGATTAACAACATCAAGAAATCATGTTATCTCATTTAAGATATATATACTAGTAGTTATCAAAGCAACGAGTTGGGGCAGAATATATAAACAGGATACAATTTGTTACTTAGATTGAAATGTAGAAAGGTTTGTGTGCCCCTGTGGCAAGCTGATCAACCCGCATAACAACAAAATTGATGCAATACTGTAACCAACAATGATCGTGGTTACAAAACTTAAAGGAGTACAACAAATCATAATGTGAAAAGTACGTCTTTCATGGTAATGAAAATGGGTTATTGAATACAAAGATATTACCAATCACTCTGCAAATATGACCTGAGAAACCACAGAGCATCACATCTTCCAATTATTATTTTTTTATAAATAATTCAAATTTCAATGTACCATAACGTAAATGGTATATTTGACAAATCCATCAATGTTTTACATTCAGTCAAAGCACAATAAGATACTAATCCTCAATTTGTTCAATGTCACCAAACCTGGCATTTCGGGCGTATCCTTCAAGTCTGTAAAAGGCAAAATATGTTGTTCTAATTCCAAGCTGCTTAGCCCAGATGACAACATTTCATTCTAAATTCCTCTCTCAACTTTGTAACGGATAATGAACTGAAATTTCCAGCCATGACTTGCGAAAAGGTGCTGTCAGTGAATTATGTACATTTCAAACGTGTAACTAAGGAAGAGCAAACCGTTAAACTGGGAGCAGTGTTGTTGCTTACAACAATTCAAAATGAGAGTTGTCCCTTTCATCATAAATATTGCTCAATGTTTTCTCCTTGAGCTATGGGTGATTTGACTTCATATTATAATTTAAAAGAAAGTATTACAGTGGTAGGACCACACTGAGTTTCATATTGACGATCTGTAGCCAAAACATTGAGAAGAAAATTGAAGGAAATCTTGAATAAGATAAATCATGTAAGTCCAGGTACACAATGAACTCTTATGGCCTGATAGTGTAATATGAAGACTAACTTGACATGTGTGTTAAATATGATGCCTTGGGTCACATCTACTTTACTTATCAGTAAGTGCATATGAGACTGCATGAATTTGTTCTCAAATCAGCTGTCAAATAATGTTTGAGATATCGTATACATTTTTTCATTTACGTAGTTTTTCATTTTCAAATGTAGTTGTCTGTCTCAGTTGATATAGTTCACTTCTCTTACCAAATGTATATTAAGTAACACAAGTTTAACAACATCCAAATCTTGGCAATTGGAAACTCCAGAAATGTTATTGTCCCAATGTAATTCAGTTTTAAAAATCGTTTTGAAAACAATTGCACACGTCAGAACTGCTTACTGTCAGACAAAGAAAACCCAACCCCATCACAAAGTTGTAACACAATGGGGCGTCAAAGGGAAATGCCCGAAAATGCCAGACACGAGGCCATTGGAATGTTGAGAGCCGGGATATGCTTACGACAGGTTGCCAGACATTTTCAGGTCCACCACAGTACCATTTCACGTCTCCAGTCACGTCATGCACAAAGACCGCCGACGCTGTGGCAGACCTCGGAAAACGACGCCACGTGAAGATCGTCATTGTGTGACGTCATCACGTCGAAACAGATTTGCCAGTGCACCAGATCCTGCTTAGAGTCTTCAGCGGACTACAGGAACACAAGTGCATCCACAGCTCGTCCGATATCGTCTCCGTTCTGCTGGGCTTCGTGCCCGTCGTCCCCTCAAGGCTATACCGTTAACACCACGTCATGTTCAAGAACAGTTAACATGGACGCGTGCCCATCAAAGATGGCGTTTTGCTCAGTGGAAGGAAGTTAAATGTTTGTGACGAATAGCATTTCTATCTGCAGTTTATAGGTGTAGAAGTCGTGTTTGGCGACGTCGAAGAGAGCGTTTTCAACCTGGCAACGTCATGGAGCATGACCGTTACGGGGGTGGAAGTGTCATGGTTTGGGGAGGGATCCATTGGGACGGTAAAAGTAATCTTATTGCGATAAACGGCACCCTTACAGGTCAGCGGTATTGCGATCTGGTGATAACGCCAGTGGTCACACCCTTCCTTAGGCAACGTCAGAGACACGTTTTCCAACAGGTACAATGCACGTCCACATACAGCTCGCCTGACTCACAATCTGCTGCAGCACAACAACATTGACATCTTATCATGGCCAGCCTGGTCACCAGACCTTACCCCAATCGAACATGCCTGGGACATTCTCGGGAAATGCTTGCGGAAGAACCACCTTAACATCATGACTGTAAACGACCTTGGCACTGCCCTTCAACTGGAATTGAGAAACATCACCCTTCATAAGGTTCGACAGCTCATCATAAACATGGGAAAACGTTGTTTGTGTGTGTGATTTTCACAGAACCACCCCTCTCACATTGTAGTGCACAGGGTTGCCAATTTGTAATGACGTCACAACTGTTTGTGTCAGTTTTATAATCGCACATGGTCAAAATAGCGATTAAAACGAACCAGCGAATCTTACCATCATTTCTTACTGTTTAGTGGGCTGTTTCATTGGGTGTTGCTAAACTTTTGTTACTGAATAAGATAGATTGATAGATAGATAGATAGATATGCTTCGCAGTCTTTGGAATTAAGCTTGGAAAGTAAGATATTGTGTCAGAATCCCAATGTTTAATTGGCTTCAAGATTTAAATACTGTATAAGAAAACATTAATGACAGGATGACTCCCTTAATTTTAGTATCTTGTACACAATCTAATCTTTATTTCCATATTTTACAGGGCAGGCTATCACAACCATAGATGCCTCTTTTCCACAACATGCGGAACTCTACAGTGCACAGAGAATATCCTGTAGCATAGCTGGAACACTGAAAACTGGTGTTCAGTGGATCAGGCCTGATGCTCTTTTGGTATCTTCATGTGCAGGTGCTACAAATTGTCTGCCAGATTCAGGATACAGTAATCCTGTAGCCACTACCACAAGAAATGTGTTAGAGATAGCAAACACTACAGGTTTGGATGGTGGTTTGTAGACATGTACAGATGGTGCAGATGGACAACCATTTAGAGGAACCGTCGTTGTCATGAGTAAGTTCTTATATCATAAACATTAATCAGATATACTATTAGTGTGGGTGTATTTCGTGAGCCATTACTCAGTATCCTTAATCAGTCCTTAATAATTAGTTTTCACATTTGAAAAAACATAAGATTAATCTCACTAGCTTATGAAAGGTTATTCACTACTTAAAGAACAAGTAATATATGTTTGGGATATATTTGGGATTATACTTTCTCAGTTAAATACTGACAGTAGTACTTTTAAATGTTGATTTTCATGTGTGATTCGAACCCACACTCTCAGAGTCAGGCATTGAATTGCCAGCTTGCCAAACGCTCAACCACCACAACAAATTGGACGTCAGACACCTGGTAGTCTGGATCACATACTTTCTGACAAGTGTAAATTGCCAGATATGTGTTGTATTTGGAATTACACTTTACTCATAATAAATAATTTCTTGAACCTTAAAATAGGCTCACATAATGCCACTTGTTGAAAATCAACATCTATGCACCAACAGGGTAACTAACAGTCATGATCTGCATAGGAATTGTCATACATATATGATGCCTCGCCTGTATCAACACAAATGATGCTCACACCAAATAATGACATTGCTAACTGAGTTGCTACACCACAGTTTCACTCCCTGTGAGAAGTATGGGTTTTGCACATTGATCAGAGGAATGACCCGATATCTTGTTATTTTCAACAGCATACCATATTTGGAATTTGGGCGTTAGTAAACCCTATAATCAGTTACCTATTAAGATGGCCGTTCCGCATTGTCAGGGGTGATGTAAGCTCAAGTTACACACTCGCTTGGTCCATGTTAAGTGAGAGGTCAGACGACGGTAATATGGTGTGTTTTTTCCCATGAGCCTAAGCTTTGACTACATGAGCTGTTGCAACAAAAAAAGATCTTGCGAAATTTAGAGGTATTTAAACTTAGCTCTGGAAAAGAGCTACAAAGCTACTCATTCTTTTCTTCAGAGAATTCATCAGCCTGTGTCATCAACAGCACGAGCAGCTTGAACAGTTTGAAGAAGGGCAGTCAGGTGACCATCATGGTTTACATGAAGCAGTATTTCTGTTCATCTCCTTCACTGTTTCAACTTGACAATGCCAATGCCACCCTCTCTCGAACACCAACCGGGTTAGATGATAAAGAAGGAAATGTGACCATATCAGTGACGCAAACTGAAACCCTCGATTTGTACATGGTGTGTGGAGGTGTTCGCTTCAAACAGAATTGTGATGTGAGGTAAGTAACACAGTTCTTTTATCTAAAACCTTACACAAGAAGTGTCTTTCAAATATTGTTTCCTCAAATCATGATTTGGTTTCTTCTGCCGCCTAAACCATGGTTCCTAGTATTGTGATCTACCTTCAGTTGTTGGCGATCTATAGCCCGTGTTTTATACTGTATTGTCCTCTTTAAATGTATGTTACAGCTTTACTCGCTAGTTTTATTCATATCTGTGATTTTCTAGTATTTTTACTTTCCATTGTCGACAGGTTTTAATCTTCAAAATGTTTTCTCTTTATATTGTATGAATTGTTTTCGTCACGATATGGCTGAGATATTGCCGATGTGACGTTAAATATTAACTCCCTCCCTCCCTCACTCACTCACTCTGCCGCCTAAATTGGTTATGGCAGATATAAAAAAATTTAAGACCTATTACTTGATAAACATCCTTAAAGGATCTCATACAATGAGCGTCTATCATCACAGATATTTAGGAGATCCATATATGCCAACCCTTACACGTAGTTCTGATCTCCTTAACTCAGATGCTACCCCTGTGATTCCCCTTCATTGATTTTACCGTGACACACAGAGAATAATTGATCAGGCCTTGACAATCTACAGTAACTTAGTCATGACACTCCTCTCCTTCCCTATTCTGAAGAGAAAACAGTACCAAACTTACCGGACTCCAGGGTATTAGATGGGGATTTCCTCAAGCAAGTTAACAATCATAAATTAAAAATACCCATATCATCATTCTTTCATTACGCATGAAGATCCGGGTTAGAATTGATCTTCAATAACCCTTGTTTGTCGAAGAGGCGACTAACGGGATGGGATGGGCAGGCTCGCTTACTTGATTGACACATGTCACCGTATCCTTATTGTGTGGATTGATGCACAATCTGTTGATCACTGGATTGTCTGGTTTTGATTGAGCTTCATGTGGGATTAGAACCCATACACTCAGAGTCAGATACCTAATCGCTGGCATCCAAACCAATCGGCCACCACTAGTATTGAAATAATTGAAGATTTGTCAAAGTGACCAAACGACTAGGAATCAGTCACATTTTCACACAATCGAACACAAGTGATTTTGGAACTACTGTTTTAGTGTTTGAAACACTTGACCATGGAACATATCTTTGAAGTTGCCAAGGTCAGAAAACGTGTAATTTCTAGAAAATTCACTTCACTTACTGAAAAGTCATGACTGTGTGTTTCTTGAAGACTTCACACTTCCCACAACAACTTCCAAAAAAATTGAAAGTTTGACAATTGGTAGTCTAGATCACATACTTTGTGACAAGTGTAAATTGACACAGCTCCCATTGCCAAATATTTGTTGTATTTAGGTCATGATTTGCATACATATATGATGCCTCGCCTGTATCAACACAACTGAGTTGCTACACCACAGTTTCACTCCCTGTGAGAAGTATGGGTTTTGCACATTGATCAGAGGAATAACCAAATATGTTGTTATTTTCAACAGCATACCATAAATAGCACAGTTACATTCTTCAGGAATCACACATCGATCATGCTTTGAATGTGGTGTATGTTTGCCCATATGTTAATCCATGAACCTAAACTTTGACTACATGAGCTGTTGCAACAAAACAGATCTTGCAAAATGTAGAGGTATTTAAACTTACATAGCTGTAGAAAAGATGGTACAAACCTACTCATTCTTTTCTTCAGAGAATTCATCAGCATGTCTCATCAACAGCACGAGCAACTTGGACAGTTTGAAGGAAGTAGTCGGGTGACCACCATGGTTTACATGAAGTAGACTGTATAACTGTACATCTGCTCCTCTGTTTCAACTTGTTGACGCTAATGTCACCCTCTCTCGAACACCAACCTGGTTAGATGAAAGTGTTGTAACCGGGATTTGGGTGTTAGTAAACCCTATAATCAGTTACCTATTAAGATGGCCGTTCCGCATTGTCAGGGGTGATGTAAGCTCAAGTTACACACTCGCTTGGTCCATGGGGATGTTAAGTCTAGGAGTGAGAGGTCAGACGAAGATAAAATCCTCAATAACCACATTTCATTCATGTGCTGGCACTCTGCCATACCAGGAATAAGTCAATACCAAGTTTTATACTCACATAGGTTTACTCGATCCCTCTGTTCATTACACGGTACGTGGTCTGGACAGGATAGGGCAATCTCTTCACCAGATATGGAACTGATCGATCGCCATGCGAACGTTCTTCTGACTTTGTAACCCGCACCACTTTCTAGTGCTGACGGTATCTTTTTAAGGTGTTGGAGCCTGTTCCACCCTTGTCACATGACCAGATACAATTCCTCCTATTCGTTTAAAGTTATATCATTCCATGGTCTCATGTTGTACCTCGTGATCGGAAATACTCCTCGATCGATATCCGTTTAATTACTACTTTAAGAGGCTTATCTGTTACTAACACTTATCCTGTTCTTTATCCGTTTGTTTATTACCATGCAGTCATAACATTGATTCTATGACGAAATAACCGTAAGTCTCACATAATAAACTCACACGCAAAAGAAACGCAAGTCTAGTATAAAGTATACATGTACTTATTTTTTTAACAGTATAGAATACAAATACCAACAGCGTCAGATATACAGAGCTTTGAGCAAGAACAGTTCATAGGCAACAAAACAGATGACGTCATTACGTTTTGTGACAGCAAAAGCGTTGCGCAGATTCTAGTCAATCGCCATGACGTCATTGAATGCCTGGTGTGGCCACCATTAGCATTGATCACTGCAACACATCTCCTGTACATGGAGTGGATCAGACGATGCGTAAAGGCCAAGTGGATCCTCCTGCGCACATCCAGAACAGATGTACGAAGTTCATCAGCAGTTGTAGGCACTGGTCGCACTTAATTCAGGCGCCTTTGAACCTCATCCAACAAGTGCTCGATGGCCACGGTAGGACACGGATGTTGTGTTGTTGAAGAAAGTCCATGGTAACTCTTGCAACATGTGGACGAGCGTTATCCTGCTGGAAAAGGTGGTTACGATGTTGGGCGAAAAATGGAACAACGTGGGGTCTGATGACTTGGTCTATGTAACGTTGAGCTGTGACCCCATGTCCCCAACCTTGACCCACATTCTGAAAGGACAATGGTCCAAGTCTCGCATTAAGTCCGATTCCGGCCCAAATCATGACACTAGGTCCACCCCATGCATCCCTCTCCAAAACATTTCTGTCAGCAAAACGATCTCCTTCGCGTCGCCAAACTCTGACCCTTCCATCTGCATGTGACACACAAAACCGACTCTCATCAGAGAATATGACACGTCTCCATTCACCTTGACGCCAGTTTTGATGACCCTGTGCCGACTGAAGTCATGCTTGTCGATGCCGTGGTTGGAGGACAGGACGACGTGCTGGTCGGCGACATCGTAGGTTGTTGGAACGCAGACGTCGGATGACAGTGTCGCGGCTGATGCGTCGATTATGCGTTCCTATGGTGTCTCGAGCAGTCTGGCTTGCTGTCAGGAAAGGATCTCGCTGGTGTTGACGTGGAATGTGTCGATCTTGTCGAGTGGGTGGTGACCCTAGGTCAGCCGCTTTGAGGAAGGTCATCTGTAGTCTGCGTTGTGTTGTATCGATGCTGAAGACGGTACATCGTGGTTATGTTGACATTAAAGTGGCTGGCAACATCTTGGACAGACTCTCCAGCTTCCAACAGTCCGATAGCCTGGTTCTACTCAAGTTGATTTAAACGTGGCATTGTTGAACAAAGTGTGACTAGCCAAATATTTTGGCTCAGTTTTATACCCACTGAAGATGGTGACAACTCGTGCATGTTTAATTGCACGAGGAAAGTGTGCATGATGCCCACATCGCCATTGAAGCGGTGCGTTTTGGCGATTCGTTTTTTTTTCTGTTCCCACACTGGCTTTGCAAAACGCAACAGAAAATGTTAACAACACCATCAACCATCATTATTTATCAACGTTGTTATGATATTAAGGGTCTCAGTTAAATTCTTCCTTTGAGTAAGAAACTTGCGTTTCTTTTGCGAGTGAGTATATATATGTGATAAGTTTCTTGTATAACGGATGCAATTTTCACCTTATATCATCCTCCGTCTATGGACAAGAGCTGCCCACAACTCGGAATAAGTAAACATGAGACCATGGAAGCGATGTATAGAAATACAACAAAATCTACACCAGAAGCAATACAGTTGCGTGTAACTCATATGGGATGTGTTGATCAATTTGAAAGGTCTTGTGCAAAACGCGAAATTGGCAAACGTGCCCAAGGTACACCAACTTACGTTAGAAAAAGAGGAAGAAAATGGCTCCTTTTTTACTTCGTAATACCACAAAGCATGTACACAACACAACAAAATCCTAGTCCGTCATAAAAGTAATAAAGATGAGTAAATGTCACTTCGTATGACCACATATGGTCTGATCCTTCACAAAAAGTTCACGTGTCATCGGTCCCCAAACGAAGACACTGTCACTGTCTTGGGCAGGAAAAGTCACAGCATGAGCTGAACTCCACCACGAAATATCAGTGACGTAACACAGTCTGGCAAGATCCCACAGCACGATCTTGTGATGGAGTATCATGGTAAGTTGAAAAAAGTCCGCACACTAGTTGACTGGCATGGGCAAACATGTTGTTTGTCTAAAGATCAGCAGTCTCATTATGGTGTCATAGATGGCGGAACAACTTCATCTGTGACGTTATAGGCGTTCATAGGAACCATACGGTCTTCTGGCGTATGCGGGTGCGTTGGCTGTGCCCTGTGTATTGTGGTCGTCACCAACTACAGTGGGAAGTCAGATGATTGATGGTGGTGGGAGTCCGACGACAGTGGAGAATTGCTTAACTTCTGTCCCAACAGAAGTGGGCCAGCTATGGAACTGCAACACTTGAGAAAAAGTGTTAAGCCACAACCAACATATTTGTGACATTTAGCAAATGTAAACAGTAGATTTGTTATGGAGACATATGGTAATCTGGATTACAACGACCTCATTTGGATACCATGCTCTATGTATGTATCAAAATACTATAAGCTTAGTAAGAAGAAGTACGATACTGATGTACAAATTCGAATTGTAGGACGACTCATTATCCAATTGATACTTGTCATATTCATAATACGGAAATGACATAAAGAGATACAAGATCGAAGTCATAGAATGCATGGACGTGATCTATAATCGTTGATATGACAATGAACAATGAAGGTACAACATTCAGTAAATGCTTTGTGGTGTAAAAGACGAGAACGAACAACATATACAATATGTATGTGAGAGATTGAGGGAGAACATTGAAATACCGATGAAACTTAAATCCTAGCAAGTAATATTAAGCAGAAACAACTGGAGAATAATATAATGCATAGTCTGTAACTACCGACTACCCACAATATGTGAAATATGCAGTCCGAATACAAGTAGTATCTCTATGGCAATGTATATCTGTTACAATATTGTTGCAAGAGTGAGTATTAATATATGACTGAATATGCCTCTTGTGACTTGGTAGTTAGAACAGAGATAACACATGGTGGCATTTCATATGAAAACAGAGCTTAATATAACTTTTGAACATGGAGCATTTATCGGATACCATCACCTATGAAATTCTAAACCATTGTATTATCTCAATGTGCTCAATGTGCCGTACTGACAAGTGTTAGTTGCGTGTTGCACTTGATCACAGTATGAAATATAACGTATAAAAATATTAACTAGGACAAAGAAAATGTCGCATTTGTCTACACCATACCAGATGGCAAAGACTCAGAGGTTAAGGTAACTTTAATATGATGGACAGGATGCTGTCTGCGATAGGGATTATGTCAGATGTAACGAGAAAGCTGATCCAAAATGTTGGAGGACTATAAATTACTTTGTCTAGTAGGAAGAAAAGCTTTTAACCCACTATTGTTAGAACGTTTTGACAACCAGTATGTAGTATCAAAAGCTTGGTTAGAAAAGATGACTGAAGGACCAACCTTCTGATATGGTGACAGTTCAGAATTGAGAGCAGACTCTGTAAGAAGCTGTGTTATCACTGCTACGGTTAGACTGAATGAAACAGACAAACAAGTCAGAATGGGGGTGATAACTGGAACATCACCTTCATGTCTTCATGGGAGGTGGAGACAGCAAGCAGTTCATAACTTGAAAATTCAAGACAATTGCCCTGGTATTGAAACTCTGCCAGAATTTCAAGGAAGAAGCAACCGATCTGTACTTCGGTACAGATAGCTTAACTTCGAAGGAATTCAAAGGAAAAAACTAAAAATAACTCTGGAAAATCTGATGTGTTCACCTTTAACGTTCAAGCTAGCAGGGAAAGTGGCATTCCAGCTGGTAGTAGCTCTTACAATAACATAAACAATCAGCACAGCACTGGAGGATGGCAAGCTGTTTGGGAGAGCATGTCATATACGTGTAATACATTCAAAGAAATGACTCCCCAGAAAAGGATGGACTTCGTGAAGGAACATAAGATTTGTTTTAATTGCTTTTCAACACACCGTGTGTCTTACAGCTGTAACAAACCAAGTAGGTGCCAAGTTGATGGTTGCAATCGCAAGCACTCCAGATTGATGCACTATATAGCTTACAGACATTGTTAAACTCACATGGAAAGACGTTTACATTGCCACAAGAGAGTGGGACTCGCTCAATGCATAATTCTGTCTGTGGTGGTGTTAATGGGACCGGTGTGTCCAGAATAGCCTGCCTGTTGTCTCAGTTTCAATGAGGTTAAATGGTGGGGATGGATTCATTGAAATGCTTTTCTTGACAATGGGAGCGGCAAATACATTCTGTTCACAAGAATTTATTGAGCTGTTCAGTGTGAAAGGAACAAAAACGTCTATTTCACTATCAGCTACATTGATGAATGAAAACTGAATCTGAAACCAGTTTAGTGACTTTAGATGTGACAGGTCTTGATGGCAGACATTCAGTGAAACAACCCCATGTGTTTATAATTCCCAAAATACCTGTTCCGACCGATACTTTAGCCAGCCAAACGGATGTTGATAAGTGGATTCATTTACGAGGTGTAACTCTGCCGATTGTGGATCATGCAAGGATAACCCTTTTGATTGGACAAGACAATCCGTCAGCACTTGTACCAATTGACGTCCGGGAAGGTAAAGACAATGAGCCATATGCTACCAGAAGAGTTTTTGACTGGGCACTGAATGGGCCATTAGAATATGGTAACCAAGGAGGATAGTACCAAACTTTGTTCAAGCAAAACACAACTTGGAGTCCTCGGTTGAGAGATTTTGGAAGTAGGAATCTTGTGAACATCTTTTGGATAGTAAATCGCAAATTTCTGTTAGTGACAAGCGTGTTATAGATATTTGGCAGGAATCTCTGGAGGCTGAAGATGGACATTATAAAAGGCGATTAGTCAGAAGTCAGACTTGAATATCTAGGCAGGCAATTATCCAAGAATAAGAGCCTACATGAGAGATACAGAGATGGAATACAAGAGCTTCTCGCCAAGGGTTATGCTGAAGAGGTTCCACATGATGAAACCAACCCCAATGAGCGCCCTGATTACTCGTAGTATATCCCTGAGCATGCTATGATCAGTAAGAAGAAACCGGACAAGTTGAGAATAGTTTTTGACTGTGATCCTAAGTATGGAAGAACAATCCTTAATGTGGAGGTTCTTCACGGACAATTTCGTTAGGAAAAGATAGCTAAAATGGGTGACGTTGAGGCAAATTTTCACCAAGGTGGAGTTGCCGAAGAGTATCACAATGCTCTGCAGTTTTTATGGTGGCCTGATGGAGATACATCATGAAAACCTGAGATCTACCGAACGACAATTCATCTATTTGCGGGTGCTAATGGAGTCCACTTTGTGCAAGTTTTGCTCTGAGACGTACTGCTGACTTAGAGCTGACTTTAACCCAGAAACAATAAGGACAATCTTGGAAAACCTGTATTTTCTATTCTGTGTCCTCTGTATTCGAAGCAATTTATCTTGTGAAGGAGTCATGTGAGCTTCTCCAGGGAGGAGGTTTCAAACTTAGCAAGTGGATCAGCAATTCTGCAAACTCCCCGTGTATATAGACTCACTGTTGTACATATTACCCGGGACACTTCATTGCCCAAAAGTGCTTTTGAGCAGTTTAACCGAACTGGAAACAAGCGTTATATAAATATATATTTATATTTATAATTCTTGATCTAGATTCCATCCCTGCAAAGAAAAGAGCAAAAGAGGTCAACGATATTGATCGTGGAAGTATTGTTTTTCCACAGGAGAGAGCAATGGGCGTTAGCTTGAACACTGAATCTGGCAAATCTGGATTCTTGATCAAGCCAAAGAGCAAACCAAATACACGAAGAGGGATATTAAGTGTCATCAGCTCAATCTATGATCCTTTTGGATTTATAAGCCCAGTTATTCTGATAATCTTTCAGCATGAATGCAAACTGAAGAAAGGATGGGATGATCCACTGGAAGTATTCAATGAGGAAAACTATATTGAATTGATTCAGAAACTTTCAAGGATTGATAAGCTGACAATTACATACTGTTTTTCTACCTGGTGATTGAAATATGAACTACTTAATTTCTCTGACGCTTCCATGGAGGGATACTGATCAATATCATACCTAAGAATAGTCAATTCTGATGGCAGAATACACTGTGCTATATTGGGAGGAAAGGCGAGACTAGCTGTTATTCATGAAGGATTCGCGGCTGGTGACTGGCGTTATGTTGAATCAAAACTTAACCCTGCAGATGATTCATCCCGAGGACTTAATGTAAATGAGATAATATCACAGGAAAGATGGATGAAAGGCCAGACTTCCTCTGGCTGGATGAATCTGCATGGCCGACTATTCCAAAAGCATTTGAGTTGCCAAAAAGAGATTTGAAAATAAAGAGACACAAAGTGAAATTTGTTCAAGGTGATGTCAAACAAGGTTGTACTAACATGTTATTGGGACGGTACTCGTCATGACACAAGTTAAAGAGAGATGTAGCCTGGATCTTGCTATTGGAACAGTGTCTATTGGTAAGGTCTAGAAATAACAAATCTGATCGACGAGTTTCACAGAATCCACTAACAGTTGAAGGAATCAGAACTACTGAGGTCGAGGTAGTGGAGTTTCTCCTAATGATCTTATGCGAGGTCACCATGTGAAGAAAACAAGATTCATCTACAAGCTCGAACCTGTGATGAACTCTAACGAAATCATGTGTGCTGGATGCCATCTCAAGTATGCCGAAATACCAGAATAGGCCAAGCGTCAGCCTGGTTTGACATCACTATCATGACCTTCTTGGGCATTCCGGAAAGAACATATCTCACACGAGACAAAGTTTCTGGGCTGTCAGTGCATTAAATGAGATTCTTAGAAACTCTGAACATTGCAAGCGTGGCCAGGGTCTGAAGAATATCCAAGGAATGGCTGAACTTCCATCTAATAGGGTTTCTTCGGGGCACCCCAATTCACCTATGTTGGCGTGGACTGCTTCGAGCCATTTGAAGTACAAAAGGAAGGGTATGGATGTCTCTTTGATGCTGAAACACAGCGATATTTATGTTTAGAACCTGGACTCAGTGGACTCAACATCTTTCATAATGGTTTGAGTGAGTGAGTGAGTTAATATTTAACGCCACATCGGCAATATTTCAGCCATATCGTGACGAGTGAGTGAGTGGCAACGGTTTGAGTGAGTGAGTGAGTTAAGATTTAAAGTCACATTGGCAATATTTCAGCCATATCGTGACTAAAACTAGTTCTAAATTTATAATACATACATATAATATATAAAACCCCGTCAACGAAGGACAGTAAAATAACTAGAGTATCACAGATGGAGTCTAAAACTAGCATGAACATGTAAAGCTATTTTATTGGCAAAGACAATACAATATAAAAACTGGCTATAGATCGCCAACAACTGAAGGCAGATCACCATACTAAGGCCCATGGGGACTTACATTACTTTTGCTCCCAGATTGTATCACCTATTTCAGCACGGCTCCCTTGGGGGCTGCATCAATCGCCATACACGCGCATGCCGCGCGTCGTTGGATAGATGTGTCCTGTGGCTACACGGAGAATGTTTCCGTTTGTTTTTACGCAACTTTATAGCCGAGCAATTAAGGTTTCTGTGATTTTAAGCTGTGCGTTTTTCTTCCACGTAGGCCCCGGTGGAAGAAACTTGTTCCACCCAGCCTCCGGTGGAAGTCGCCTGCGCCATGGCATTTTTCAAGCCTTCTACTTTGTCATATCTATGCATGTTATACGTTCTTGGAAACCTTGGGAAACGCTCTCTCCAAATATGCAAACATGAATATTGTGCTGCCCCTGGTAACCAGTCCAGATTGAAACTCCGACGTGATGTTTTGTGTAATTTTACTGAAGTTCAATTCTTCTGTGATATAGCAATTTTCGCCAACATCGCGCAGTCGTGATATAACGGCTACTATTCTTACACATCACCTCAGAATATACATTTCTATAGCGCCTTTGAAAGCCTATTAAGGCGTGTTTTAGACAATGTATAATACGCACATGTTGCACATTCAGTGGTGGAGCTATATGAGTATTAATGTGCGAACTGCAAAATATAAGGGACGTGATATAGATTGGCGGAATATAGATGAATTTGTACACCGGCTATACCGGCGGTGTTAATATTTACATCTATAGTGCATTTGCAAGATCATTCATGTGGGATTCTGGGAATATGTAATATGTTGTTGTGCGACATTAGATAGTTGAGCAATACACGAATGAACATGCTTGACATAACTAAAAAGTACAAGCGTTTGGAATCTAACCATAACGGCAATACCTGTAGTGTTATTATTTATAATTTTAGTGTATCAGAAAGCCCTTGAAAATGCGGTTCTGCCAAGGTATAATGTGCATTCGAGTCACACCTGATAGTCGGTCTCTGCGCGCCGTTATATTTTGCTGAAACCGGATCAAATCTATGATCTGGCGTGTATGCTCCGTCGGCCCGTCGGCGTTATGACAGCTATACTTTATCACAAAAGCCGCCTCTATTGTCACTTAATATATCACGCTATATATCACACTCTATATATCACATCTACGTATCATCATTGTTTTTATAACGTCTGTTTGACCTGTCCTCGTGGATTCGTTGTATATACATGCACATCTCTAGCTTCCTGTAAATCTAATTATCACTTCATTAGCTGTCCATCACTCTGCTGTGTTTACTGTTTAGTCTGAGGCGTGGCAGGTAATTTCCGGAGATGTACCACTAATCAGCAAATTTAATTTCGTCACCGTGAAGATATCCTCCGTTTGATAAGCAGCTTTGTGATTTTATAATCTTGTTGCCCGACTGATTTCAGCCATGTGCATAGAATGCTTGGTTTTCATTGGGATGGGCAATTCACACCTTTTGGCGTGCCCTTGCCCCTCCAAATGGACGTCATGCATAGAATGGAGATGGGCAATTCACAATTTCCTCCTCTCCCTTAAAAACATCCGACTTGGTCACATGACAGTGACCTTCATCTAAACCATTCCATTGGCTATCTGGCGGGGACGTGGTAATATACGTGAATGCTCACAATATCATCATCACAGACCGAGTGTCTTAGTGGACGAATACCAGTCGGCGTTGACGATCCCTATTGGCAAGTGAACTTTACTTTTATTACCTTTTGCTTGTTTTTAATAAGTCATCTACGCTGCTCAATAGGCCTTTCCAGTGCGCTTCTAACGATGTATAACATGCACATTTACGCCACTGCGCAAAGGTACTTTAGATGTCCGTATATAATGGTCATTTCCGTCTCCAATGTGCTATCGGCGGAAGATGTTTTCCGTATAAATTCATTATGCAATGTTGGATTCTTAATATCTATAACGCATTTGAAAGGCCTTTCCAGTGCGCTTCTAACGATGTATAACATGCACATTTACGCCGCTGCGCACAGGTACCAGTGTTGTTCGTGTATAATGGTGATTTCCCGGTCCCATTTGCTATCGGCCGAAGATGTTTTTTGTGCATAAATTCATTATGCATAATACGATTCTTAATAACTATAACGCATTTGAAAGGCCTTTCCAGTGCACTTCTAACGATGTATAACATGCACATGTGGAGTATTTTGCAACGGTGCTCCACACATCTGAAATTGCCGCCGTCTGTGGTGTTCGTGTCACCTGCGCCATCAGCAGATGTAGTTTTCGGCTATAATTTATATGTCCATGGTCCGATTTTCACTATGTCTAATGCAGTCGAAAACCCTCGAAAGTACGCTCCTAACGACGTATAACATGTGCGATGTTCTGCTGAGACGTTACGCACGTCGGTTTATACCGCCGCTTCTTGTGTGGTCGGCCTTTCAAATGCGCCCTTGTTCAGTCTTTGCCTTATCGCGTCTTTGTTTGCTTCTAACTCCGTTATACCTATCTGCAACAAACCTGTATTGGTATCATTAGAAAGCTCTATTGACGTCGGTGACGGTGCTGAACACAGATTGGATCTATCCTGAAAATTAAAATATGTATTGTACAATTTGTTTGTAAAAATCGTCATGTTTTGCTATACTTTCGCAGGAAATCCTATATAACTTTTCTGTCCAAAGTCAGAAATCAAATTGGCTTATATTGCCAGAAAGCCCATTCAATGGCGGAGGTGCATGCAAAAGGGCGTTTTTCTAACCCCTCAAATAAAGTATTTATTAACTTTTTAAAATGCATAGTACTCTCAGGCGAAAGTCTAACTATCCAACGTATTTACGGGGTATTCTTTATATGGGGACAAGAGCCAGGCTGGCCACTGGCTCAGAAATTTGCCTATGTTCCCGGGCAAGACGATGCGACGGGCACGGCGATGTGAAAATTGCGACGCTGCCGTCCACGTCTGCCCACGGAGGTCGGAAAGATGGGGGACCCGAGGTAGTGCATAGCGGGATAATTCCGACCTCCACCATGATCAAGCTTTTCGTTGCCTTGGTGTTTAGCCTGTGTAACGGCGCGCGACGTTGCTCATGCTATTCGTCATTGGTTCTCCCGAAGATGCTCGATCCGGCCACGGTATAGCAGAACTGAAACACATTGAGTCCCGGCAGGGGCTCAGAGGCGACTTGGCAGTAAGCAAGCGGATTTCTCCTGGAAGCAGGACGAAATGATGGTGTTGCATGGGAGTGAAGGGGCGACCCTTAGAGTAGAGGCGATGGTGGCGAAGCGTTGGCTGGCGCAGGCCAACCAGTTCGAGTCCGGGCAGGGGCTCAGAGGCGACTTGGCAGTAAGCAAGCGCAAACGGTGGTGGATTTCTCCTGGAAGCAGGACGAAATGATGGTGTTGCATGGGAGTGAAGGGTCGCCCCATAGAGGAGAGGCGATGGTGGCGAAGCGTTGGCTGGCGCAGGCCAACCAGTTCGAGTCCCGGCAGGGGCTCAGAGGCGACTTGGCAGTTAACAAGCGCAAACGGTGGTGGTTTCTCCTGGAAGCAGGACGGTGTTGCATTGGAGTGAAGGGGCGACCCTTGGAGGAGGAGCGAGGGTGTGAAAACGGTAGCTGGCGCACCCAAACCAGTTTGAGTCTTGGCAGTGGCTCAGAGGCGACTTGGCGGTAACCCTGCATGATTTGCCGTGTCAAATCTTTGCAATTCCCTAAGGTGTGGCATATTGGAAAGGAGAGGTATATTGCTGTAGTGTCTACAGCTATGTATGCGAGTCACCCAATTGATGGGTAGACGCAATGGCATTACACGCCAGACGGACATTGACGTTTTCTGTCGTATGTTATGCATGTTGATGTAAATTGTAGTATGTATTGTTAATCACGTGTACCAGCTCCACTGCCATTGTCATTAGTACCTGAAGAATTCACAGAGATCTGATCTACCACGACGACCTTCCTACGTAGACTGAACTGCGCCATCACAGCAATCGGACTTTGAAATCAAAGTTGTATCCTTCCAGGTTTAATGTTTCGTATTATATATTTGTGCTGACATGTTTGAATTATCTGTCCATTATGCAATTGTTAGGGTATTGAATTCGTGAGCTATGGTTATCCATGTGGGTATATATGACTGTGATGCACAAATGCTTCGTCATGTTCATGTTCGTCTTACAAATGGGGAATGCAAAAATAAAAGTACAAGTTAACACCGTCTCGCTCTAAACTAACACTAACCACAAACCGATGTAACATAAAACTTGCGTGAAAAGGCAATCAGTCCCTCTCTCTCTAATCTAAAACGCTAACCTAAAAACCGAAAAAAACATAAATTAAAACTAAAAGCCTACGGCCTTCTCTTTAAGCTGAATCACTAACCCAAACCGCAATGACATAAACTTAAAACAAAGAAGGTTAAAACGTAAACCAAAACCGAAAAAAACCATAAATTAAAACTAAAAGCCTACGGCCTTCTCTTTAAGCTGAATCACTAACCCAAACCGCAATAACATAAACTTAAAACAAAGAAGGTTAAAACGTAAAATAACAATAACAACACGAAACAAAGAACTAATAATACCGGTAAATTATAGGGGGGAAAAACATCGATGTGGGCAATAATAAGTCCTTCTCTCCCGAAACCGAAAAAAAACATAAATTAAAACTAAAAGCCTACGGCCTTCTCTTTAAGCTGAATCCCTAACCCAAAAACTTAAAACCGCAATGACATAAACTAAAACTAAAAACAATAACAACAAAGAACTAATAATACCAGTAAATTAAACGGGGAAAAAACATCGAGGTAAAGTCGGGCATGTGTAACTGAAATATAATCCTTGGCTCAAGTGATTTTCTACACTTGGCTCAAGTTCTATGAATTGAGTCGGTAGGCCGGCCGAGGCATTGATAGTATTGTTTCCAGGTGAGGGGAACATGCTTTCAATGTCTACGAACTAGCCCGGATATTTGTCTTCAATTCCACCTGGTGTGATGGCGAACTGAATTTTTTGCTATGTTTGCACTTGGTTTGATGTTGTCTGGAAGGATGAATAAAACGTTTTCATTGCTGCGCTTAGCCGTGGTATTGTCTTCAATTCCACCTGGTATTATGGCGAACTGAATTTTTGCTATGTTTGCACTTGGTTTGATGTTGTCTGGTTTTTCATTGCTGCGCTTAGCCGTGGTATTGTCTTTAATTCCACCTGGTGTCATGGCGAACTGAATTTTTGCTATGTTTGCACTTGGTTTGATGTTGTCTGGAAGGATGAATAAAACGATTTCTTTGCTACGTTTAGCCTTGGTATTGTCTTTATTTCCATGTGAAGAGAAAACGGAGACACGTTTTTTGTGATATTTAATTCTTATTGTTTGTTACTAAAGGTCACCTTCACACAATTACATTCCTAAAGTAGCTTCATAGTGAGTTCTTACTCACCTCATTGTCTTCAAATGAGCCTTGATTGGCGTCACGTTTGCAGAGGCACTTGTTGTGGTGGGGCACACAGGCTCTGCTCTGATGTTTTGATTGTAATGCCTAATCCGAGAGTTTCTGAGTGAGACATGGAAGCCAACCAAGTGGCGGGAATTACGACTGAAAGCGCCAATCGTTGATCGGTTGTTTAATCGCATAAGTGTATGGGATGAGTGAGTCGTGTCAGGTTTAAGCTACCAACCGGCCTTAATCCATGAATGATTGATTGACTCTGTGACGTCAATGCAGAGCTTAATACAAACACTTTTCAATCTATATATACCTAGCAGTCAGATACAAGCATCACGGCACATGTGCTAACATTGTTTGACACATCTCATTGTTGAAGACTCCATTCAAGCCATGGCCTACACACTTTTTAAAGGTCCTGTTTCAAAGCCCGTCCACTTTGCCATCCTGGGACATAGCTTCGTGCGGCGACTTGATCAAGTCTGTCCCCCTCCACGTGGCACCATCACTTCCGTGCGTGGGATAGGAGGGGCGACTGTCGCTCGGATGAAAGCAGTGGTGGATGCCCTTGATGCAGGTTTCCAGGGCATTGTTTTCTTTCAAGTGGGAGAGAACGACGTGTCGGCGTCAACTGATCCTCAGAACCTGGTTGAGGATTTGCTGGATCTTCTGGACTACCTTCGGTGGAAACGGCCGGGCTCCAGAGCAGTGATAGGAAGTCTGTTCCCGAGGGTAAAACCAAGGAACATGACGGTCTCTGCCTACAAGCGGAAGGTGGAGGAGACGAATCGGCGCTTGAAGAGGATGTTGCGACGCCGTCTGGATGCCACCTTTTGGGACCACAGCCAGCACATGAGGATGGGACCTGCACTGTTAGGCAAGGATGGCGTCCACTTGACGTCAAAAGCCAATGCCCAGTTCTGGCTTTCCATTCGTAAGTGTATGTGTAGGTACGTTTAAACGCACATGCCCTGTCCGGTAGATCATCATTTTATCGTAATTCCAAAACTCTATAATTGTCGTTTCGGCCCATTGTGTTTATATACAGCAGTGGCAAAAGGGGATCCGCGTGTGAGACAATCAGTGCAAACGGGATGCACAGATCAGTCAGATCTGAGCGCACGGGGCTTAGCTTCGGGGGGCTTTAAGGGTGGGAAAACGTGACGACAACCGCACGTGTCGCACATGACGTGAAAGCTAAGACACGGGGCTTTCGATCCATAGTAACAACAAAACCCTGTGGTCGATGTACGAAACATAACAAGCATCTGCAGCGTGAAATACTGCCGTAAATCGGGTCAAATCGGGCTTAAAAGCGCCCCGGCTTCGAACCCGTTAAAGACAGGTCACTTCTGATGATACCACCAGTTGGCCCTGGGAACCAGTTTCACGTCGATGTGCAACATGTCAATGGGTTGTGTATATTCGTCGTCCACGCGACGTATAAAAGATGATCGCAGAGCAAGGCTCTTTTCTTGGTAAAAAGACATGTCTATATCAGATGGCCAAATGGACGTGGACGTCCAACCAGGTGCCCCACGTCGACCCCGTGACGATCCCAGGTGCCTTGTCCACGTGGCAACATTTTCATATATGATATGCGTGCATATGTTTTTTCTCCGGGTGCGAGACGATTAGTGCAAGCGGGATGCAGAGATCAAACTCCTTTTGATATGAAATCTGAGCTGTTTTGGCTCCCGTCACACGCACGGGGCTTAGCTTCGGGGGGCTTTAAGGGTGGGAAAACGTGACGACACCCGCACGTGTCGCACATGATGTGAAAGCTAAGACACGGGGCTTTCCATCCATAGTAACAACAAAACCCTGTGGTCGATGTACGAAACATAACAAGCATCTGCAGCGTGAAATACTGCCGTAAATCGGGTCAAATCGGTCTTAATAGCGCCCCATCTTCGAACCCGCTAAAGACAGGTCACTTCTGATGATACCACCAGTTGGCCCTGGGAACCAGCTTCACGTCGGTGTGCAACATGTCAATGGATTGTGTATAGTCGTCGTCCACGCGACGTTTAAACAACAACACCCACCGTTTCTGGCCCGTGATATAGGGCTGTCTGAACCATTAAAAAAGTCATTACACCATTGGGGTAAAAATTCAGGGGCCTTACGTGGTTTTTTAACGGGTTATTCTGTCACAGTGACGTCACAGTGGCATTGCTACGTTCATTGTCATTTGTGTCAGTATCTTCTAATTTGTTTGTTTTTGACTCACGAAAGTCAATAACGTTTGCTGCATGACGTACAAAATTCTTACGAAAACAGCAATAATAACAACAAATGTTTGCACACAACACCTGTGGAAGATTACATGGTTAAGGGTGCGCCAGCAGTGAAGTTTCTACCAATACTGCACACAACACCTGAAAAGATTGGATTCCAAGTATATATGTTACAGTGAATATGTGTAATCAGTCATTTCGCGTAATGACTAAATGGATCAACTTTATTACTTTTTTTATGTATGATTTAGGTTTTTTTATTTGACTGTAGGACTTTGTTTTACATTGAACTTTTCTGGTCTTGACAGTATTTCAGTCATTTCACGTAATTCCTCACCATGAGTTTTAGTCACTTCGTGTAATAACTGAAATTTTCAGTCATCACACGTATTGCCTAGTGCTCACAGGCAGTTCACGAAAAGACTGATTACACAGATTGACTGTAATTTAAATATGGTCATATTTGGTTCAGAGTTTTGCACGCTATCTGGTGAGGACGCTATTTATAAACCTGGGGATTTCCAAGTATCGGTAACTTCACCATGTCAAAACAGACGATGTCACATTATAGTATCATGAGAATTAAGGAGTAATTTATAGAGAATACTACACGAGGTCTCATTACATACGCATTATACGAAAAGAGAGTCCTTCCTATGGTATCTGACCGAGTGAAAGGGAAGGGCAGGTCACGAGTTTCGTTCAATTCGTATGTAATGAGACCGAGTGTGGTATTATATTTATTACCTACGTCTTACATGCATTGAATAGACAAAATAGCGTATTTTTTGTTATTTTTATGGTTTCAAACCGAAACCGGTTTCATAAAGAGGTTGCGGAAGAGTTTTGTACTGTACTACACTATTTGCATGACGTCACACTGTAACGACGTCTCTAGCTTAGTAACCGACGTCACGGTGCCTGTCAGTTGTCATCGCCTCGTACAGACTCCTACAGTAAACTACTCCGTAGCACCCCGTTTCTTGGTTTGCAGTTGCATCTCTCGACTAACATCACTGGTGGAAACATTGCGTTTATGTTTTTCGACAGATTTAATGTCTCAGTTCGACTCACAATTAAACAGCGACACGGCAACGTTCGCAATGTTTACATTCCCACAATGCATATAATTGAGAGCTCATCGGTTATCCAATCAAATCGTTAGAATCTCAGGTCAAGTCGTTACGAAACAGGTCAACGCGATACGTCACTCGTGTGACGTACGAGATTGGTATGCAACTACCCATACGTTGACCACGTGGGTAATAAAGAAATGTATCGACCCAGAACACAAATGTGTTGCATGCAGAAAACGCAGGTAGAAAATATCTTGCGTGACATGTAGATGTATTTGCGTGAAACACGCAAGCTTTTCCGCTAACACGAACACTGAGTACTTGTTATTGTTAACATCTAAAAAAAGCCTTCCGAATCAATATGTATGTGTATGCATGTGTGATTTCCATGTCCTTCTAGTCCTTTCTGCTGCAGGTCACAGATCCCCGAAAATACAGGAGAACACGTGCATTTCCATGGTACGTCAATATTCAAAGTACGTGTACATGGTAAAAGGAAAAGGGTCCAATGACTTTCATCACTGTTGTTAAATAATGCCTGATTCATGTCTGCACTTGTCTGTTTTTCTTCAATAAAGATGTTAACCTGTACTCTGGCCTGCAAAATAGAGCGGATGACAAACAGACATACACAGAACTGAAGAATTATGAAAATACAGGATTCCATC